CATCTATGACCAGGTACTTTTACTTGGTTGATACGGTCCCTTTATCAGGATAGGTTAGGGATTAAGCCATCTACAGCCTTATTCCCAAAGGCTGTGTTGAAATAGCTTAGTTTATTCTGGTTATTTTGTTCAGTTTATTTTCTCTTGTTCTGTTTAGAATAACTTAGTTTTTTATTCTGTTTATGTACTGTAAGTGCTGCAGGGGCATAAGGCCCATCTTTTAAGTGTCGCCCTATATAATATAATATATTCTGGTGCCGCCAGAACAGAATTGACTCCCAAACACTTTCTCTTCTCTTCTCCCTTCTCTCTTCTTTCTGTCTGCTCTCCTTCTTCCTTATTTCTTTTGTATTTTTCTGCTAATATGGTATCAGAGCGGTGCAACTGGGTTTAAGAGCAGATTTAACAAGTGTTTTTTGTTCTTCATCTTGCTGTTTTTCCAGACTGAGGTCAGAAAAAGATAACCTACGACTGACAATTTTTGTTACTTCCTTCTTCCTTCTCTTGGTCGTGTACCAAGAAAAAATTCATATGAATCAAGACTGATGAATGCTGCCAGTGGTTGTGAGGTTCAAACCTCTTTTCTGTGGATCATGGGGTCCTGTACCTGAGAATGAAATACATGTAGGTCTCATATGACCTGACTTTACCCTTTTTGGTGCAATGACACTGTTGTATGATCTCTCCTGATAGCTGGTGGGCTTGATTGACTTGGAAGAGTGGTGGACTGTGACTGTTAAACCTGTACAGCACTGAAATCAACCTAAATTTTTATTTTAAGGAACTTGGAGCTGGTCTATGAAGAGTGGTGGACTGTGACTGTTAAACCTGTACAGCACTGAAATCAACCTAAATTTTTATTTTAAGGAACTTGGAGCTGGTCTATGAAGAGTGGTGGACTGTGACTGTTAAACCTGTACAGCACTGAAATCAACCTAAATTTTTATTTTAAGGAACTTGGAGCTGGTCTATGTTCAGATTGTGTCCAGCCTTGAGTGTGTGCATCTCTGGTGTGTTTCTAGGACGGTTTTTGCTGTCAGGAGGGATCTTAGGGTGTGTGTTGAGGTTGAATAGTGACCTGAACCATGTCCTCTGAGAATTCTGCAACTTTTGGAGTTTTTGGAGGTCAAAACAAAAGGAGTTGGGGGCTGGATATGAATTTCCCCATGGCTGTAATTCCCTTTGATGGACTAAATTACCTTCAATGGTCTAGGGGAATGGGGAATTAAACTCTACATTACTACTAAGGGGAAAATAGGGTATATTAATGGTAAAGTGAAGGAACCAAAGACTGGAAGTGCTGAACATGACAGGTGGAACCAAGAAAATAGTATGGTGATGTCGTGGCTCTGGGTTTTCATGCTGTCACAAGTAGGAAAGACATTCATATTGGCTGAAACAGCTTGTGAAATTTGGGAGCAAGCAAAATCTACCTATTTGGAGCAGAGGCACTATGCAAAGATATACCAGTTGCAAGCTGAATCCTCCACTTGCAAGCGGGGGAAGAGAAGTCTCTCGGCGTATTACTCAGATTTGACATCAATTTGGAAGGAATTGAATCATTATCAAAGTGTGAATTGGAAATGAGACGAAGATGCAAAGGCCTACAAATCACTTGTTTCCCAGCAGTGAGTATTTGCTTTTCTTTTGGGGCTGAACCCTATGTATGAGTCTATCAGGGTACAAATCTTGGGAAGTAAGGACTTACCTTCAATCCAGGAGGTTTATGCCTTAGTTCAATCCGAAGAGAGTAAAAGAAGTGTGATGAATTGTATAGAGGGGGAGTCAGTTGCATTGGCAGTCCGAGGAGGTAATAATGCAAATGGTGGAGGTTCTTTTAAGAAGGGTGATATGCAGAAAAGAGTGGATGAAAAAGACAAACTTTGGTACACCCACTGTCAGAAGTCCAGGCACACTAGAGACCCATGTTGGGACCTCCATGGGAAGTCTAAGTGGGCTCAGGAATTAAGTAAGAAATTAGCATCTGATCAAAGTAAGAAGCTAGCTTAGCAGACTCAAAAGAAATATAACTCAGCAAATGTGGCACCTCAGGAGACTAGTCCCATGATACTTCAGGAGCGCCCCCTGGTTTTGATCCCAAGGAAGAGGTATCAATTTTTTCGTGGCCAATCGGAACTATATGGTAGGACACTTCGCCAGATGGATTCTGGCCCTACTCCTACCACCTTTGTGCCTACATCAGGTAACTCTGCCACTGCCTTCCATGTGTCATCTCATACATCTGATTCCCCTTGGATAATTAACTTTGGAGCTACAAATTACATGATTGGTAAGTCAAATTTATTTCAGACATATAACCTCCTCTATGGGAGAGATAAGGTGAGATTAGCCGATAGGTCATTCTCTATGGGTTTCCATGYTGTCATAAGTAAGGAAGACATTCATATGGGCTGAAACAACTTGTGAAATTTGGGAGCAAGCAAAATCTACTTATTTGGAGCAGAGGCACTATGCAAAGATATACCAATTGCAAGCTGAATCCTCCACTTGCAAGCAAGGGGAGAGAAGTCTCAGCGTATTACTTAGATTTGACATCAATTTGGAAGGAACTAGATCATTATCAAAGTGTGAATTGGAAATGTGATGATGCAAGGGCCTACAAATCACTTGTCTCCTAGCAGCGAGTATTTGCTTTTCTTTTGGGGCTGAACCCTATGTATGAGCCTATCAGGGTACAAATCTTGGGAAGTAAGGACTTACCTTCAATCTCGGAGGTTTATGCTTTAGTTCAATCTGAAGAGAGTAGAAGAAGTGTGATGAATTGTACAGAAGGGGAGCCAGTTGCATTGGTAGTCCGAGGAGGTACTAGTGCAAATGGCGGAGGTTCTTTTAAGAAGGGTGATATGTAGAAAAGAGTGGATGACAAAGGCAAACTTTGGTTCACCTACTATCAGAAGTCCAGGCACACTAGAGACACATGTTGAGACCTCCATGGGAAGCCTAAGTGGGCTCAGAAATTAAGTAAGAAATTAGCATCAGATCAGAGTAAGAAGCTAGCTCAGCAGACTCAAAAGAAATATAACTCAGCAAATGTGGCACCTCAGGAGACTAGTCCCATGATACCTTAGGAGCGGTCCCCTGGTTCTGATCCTAAGGAAGAGGTATCAATTTTTTCGTGGCCATTCGGAATTATATGGTAGGACACTTCACCAGATAGATTCTGGCCCTACTCCTACCTCCTTTGTGCTTACATCAGGTAACTCTGCCACTACCTTCCATGTGTCATCTCATACATCTGATTCCCCCTGGATAATTAACTTTGGAGCTTCAAATTACATGATTGGTAAGTCAAATTTATTTCAGACATATAACCTCCTTTATGGGAGAGATAAGGTGAGACTAGCCGATAGGTCATTCTCTACCATAGCCTATCAAGAAACCATCTCCCTTCCTCTCAGTCTTACCCTCTCTAATGTGTTACATGTTCCAAAATTGCCTATCAATTTACTTTCAATTAGTAATATTACTCACTCTTTGAACTGTTCAGTAACTTTCTTCCATTCTTCTTGTGTGTTTTAGGATTTGACCTCAGGGAGGATGATTGGTAGAGGAAGCATGGTGGATGGTTTCTACATATTGGAGAATAAAGTCGATCTTGTGGCTACAAAGTCTTTGAGTTCATCTTGTGAGAGTCACGCCTACTTATGGCATAGTCGTCTTGGTCATCTTTATTTTGAGTCATTAAAAGCTAATGTTTCCAGAGTTATTGAAGTCTTTGTCAGTAAAAGAGTTACAGTGTTAGACATGTCAATTGAGTAAACATTGTAGAAGTTTTTTTTTTTTTTGTTCCTTTAAGAAATAAAAGATCTCAATTTCCTTTTCATATTGTCTATTCCGATGTTTGGGGCCCTGTTACTTTACGGTCTCTACCTTTTGAGACTGGATACAAGTATTTCATTACTTTGATTGATGACTATTCTAGATATACTTGGATTTACCCTATGCGATCTAGAGATGAAGTGTCAAAGATTGTAAAAGATTTTCAGCACATGATTTTTACTCAATTCTAGACCGAGATTCATATTTTCCAATCGGACAACACAAAAAATACTTTCATAGTGATCTCACGGAGTTCTTTGCTTCGTGTGGTTCTCTTCATCGGAATTCTTGTACTAAGACACCTCAACAAAACAATGTTGCTTAAGAGGAAAAATCGTCATCTTCTTGAGTTGCCCGTGGATTACTACTCCATATGCATGTTCCAAAATGCTTCTGGATGGATGTTATGTGTGCTGCATATATTATCAATCGTATACCGTCTAGGTTGCTAGAGTATAAGGCCCCACATCAAAAGAAGATGAAAAACAAAGGGATAAAAACTGTCTACAGTCAAATAGTCAATTTGACTGGCTATGGTTCCCTTCTCGTATTCAAAGTCCAGAAGATTAAGGCTGTCTACAGTCAGAAATTTGTCTGATTGACTATGTCTTATTGTGAAGAAAGGAGTGAGAAAGAAATTTGCTCTGTATTAAAAAGAAAAGAAAGAGGGAAATGTATTGTTTTAAGTTTCTCGATTGTATCTTTTTGTTTCTCATTCTTGTACACTTAAGTATGTAAAGAAACACAAATGAAAAATTCTTTTCAAGAAGTACTCTTTATTCTTTTTTTTTTTTTTTTGTTCTTTATGTTCATTTCTCCAAGTCAAAATCAAAAGGTATTCTCTACTTTCTTGTAGAGGATGTAATTAAGGGGAGCAATCTATATGATTCCCTGAATGGGCCTTAGATTTGATTGAGTGAATTATAATTTTGCACACCAACAAAACAAATAGTGATTCCAATTGAATGAAAATTACATCATTTTTCTTTTAATCATTATTTTTTGTTTATTCTTTAATCCACAATAATTGTTACAAATTCGCTTATTGCTTTTGTTTTTAATGACCTTGATCTGAATAAGAATAAAGAATCTTAAAGAAATCATGCAATTGAAATAGACCAGATTAAGCTAACATTTTTGTTATAGAAATTACAGGGTACCTTCCACTTTCAGATGAAGGTTTCTTGAACGTTTCAAAATCCACTCCTTGTTTTAGCAAATATCTTCCTGGAGCTTGAAAAGTTGCAATCTGATGCTCAAGATAAAAATAAAAATGAATAAGTTCTTTTCCATTTGCTATATGCGTTTACATAAAGGGGTTCCACTACTTACTCTTTTAAGAATAGGATCAATCTTCCTTGCAGCATTGGGAATTGTGTCTCCAAATGCTTTCTCCAGGGCCTAAAGGGGGGGGGGGGATCAAGGTTAGTGTTTGATTGGCACCAGCAAAGTTAACTTCAAAGCATAACAGATATCAACATAGAAAAATCTTTAGAAAAAAAAAAAAGGAAGAAGCCAATTAACATAGTAAGATGCAGTAGCCTTTTAAGACAGGATACATCAATAAGATACAATCCGAGTCCTGCAATTGCATACTGACAAACATACAATTTGTTTTTTCTTCTAATAATTACAAAAAGTGTAAATGATATCAGGAGCAAAAGTTCAGATTAAATGTAATTCACAATGAACAAAATAAATAACTAATTAAAATCACCTGATAAAAAAATTGAAACATAAAAGAGAGAACATAATATGATGCAATAATCATTTCAGCCAACATATATAACATTATACAATCCAGGAGCTGATACTGCACAAAGATGTTCAATTTTTTCCCTCTTCCAAGGAAAGATATTGTACCTAAATAAGACAAATTTTAGTTGTGAGAGCTAAATAGATAGACCAAGTCAATCTACACTCTTTTCTCAATGTGTATGCCATGTCATTGTCATCACCAAGTGTGGTGAGCAGGTTGAAAGAACAAGTACATTTCAGGTCCACAGATCCATCATCTCTTTTTACCTTTTCCAAACTACCAAAAAAAAAAAAAAGACATTGCTTCTTTTGTCTGTTCTTGTTTCCTAAACTAAAGAAAAAGAGATCAAACATAAGTTCAGGTACAGTGATCAAAATACCCCTGGCCACCCAAAAAAAAAAAAAAAGCATAAAACAGCATACAAAGGACTATAAAAACTCAGCAACTATAGAACAGCAATAAAACAAATCTGAAATGGTTTCTTGATACTCCCTCTCAAGTTGTGTATAGATGCCAATCATAGTAAACTTGCTTAAATTTGTTTGTAGCTTAAGTTTTACCACTTATTTAACAAAAACAATAGTTAGTTATATGTCTGAAGTAAAGGCAGGAAAACTACTCCAAATTAGACTTTATAATAAAATGTCTGTCAACTTCTATATGTTTGGTTCTGTCATGCTGAACTAGGTTGTGGGTGATAGTAATAGTGGCTTGATTATCACAATACAACACCAGTGGCTTCTCAAGATCAACTCTTAGCTCCCCAAGTAGAGACCAAATCTAGAAGATTTCTGAAACACCAAGTACCATAGCCATATACTCTGCTTCAGCACTGGAGTAGGCAACAATTGGCTGCTTTTTACTCATCCAAAAGATAGATTCTCACCAAGCAAAGTGCACATACAGACATAGAATGCCTATTATCAAGAGAATCAGCCCACTCTACATTAGCAAAAAGTTCCACTTTCATGTCACCATGATTGGCAAAAAATATACCTTTGCTTGGCTCTTTCTTGAGATAGGCTAAAATCCTCTACGCCATAACAAGATAAGAGCTTTTAAGAGCATGCATGTGGCTAACAACACCTACTACATTTGAGATATTTGGCCTAGTCCTGCATAGATATAGAAATCTGCTAACCAATCGCTAATATCCTCCAACATCTTTAAGAAGCACTCCATTAGTAGCATTAAATGTATGATTCAATCAATTGGAGTATACATAGGTTTTACTCCCAATGCCCTCTTCTTACAAGGACTGGGCTTGGGCCCAAACTCCAGGTTTTTTAATATTTTAGTTTATTTTGGCCTTGGAGTGAGCAGATTGAGCTTGACCTTGGGCTCAAGTCTTAGGTCCAAGTCTAAGTTTGGGCCAGGAATGTCTTAAACTTGCCCAACTTGCCTATGTTGCACTTCTCTTGTTAAGTAGGTTAAGAACATACTTGCATTGGAAGACAAATATCCCATGTTTTAACCTAGCAACTTTGATGCCCAAGAAGTACTGAAGCTCCCTTAACTCTTTAGATCAAATTCTTGGTGCAAAAAGTCACTTAAGCCTATCTATCTGAATAGGATTATTACCAGTCACTACTATATTATCAACATAAACAGTAAGTGCAATCAACAGAGTACCTTCCTACTTAATAAATAAGGCATGAATTAAACAGATTATGAATACCTAAACCTTTGCAAAGATCCCCTAAATTTGTCAAATCATGCCGTGGGTGACTGATAACCCCTTTAGGGGTTGTCCTAGCTCCTACGTGCATGCATGCGTACAGGTGCACACTTGCATGCAAAAATAATATAATATATTTTCTTAAGCTCACAACCGCTATAAGGGATTCTTCTACCACAAGCTGGATTAATATTAAGCTTGCTAGTGGGCACTTGAGTGCTTCATGCTCAAGCTTTATAGCAAGCTATAATTTTAGGGGGTTTGGGGGACTATGTCCCCTTAAATAGCTGCAGCTATACCTTCCCCTTGTTCTCATTGCCATGAAAGCAAGGTGGTAGAACCATATACACCTATTCATGTATATCACCATTAAGAAACACATTCTTTATATCAAATTGGAATAGAAGCCAGACTAAGATGTAGCAAGTGATCAATGTTTTTAAAATCATGTGATACATGACGATTCAAATCAAATCAGGGTCAAAATGATACAAATCATATATATTAATCGCCTTTGGAATTAATCGTACGATTTATAAATAAATCGGTAATTTAAATCTTGAATCATGATTCATACACGATTCAAACGATTAGGTCTGAAAGCTTAATTTAAGAGTAAATGACCATTTAACCCTTCTCCATTTTAATGTTTCACTTTTACATCAAAGGGCAGAATTCTCATTTTAGTTATAAAACATAAGATAGCCTCTTTGGTCGATCAAATGTAACTTACCATTGAAGGCCTTTATGATTGCTTGGAGAGAATAATTCCAATACATGAGATTGAATCATAGTTGGGGATCAAATGGACAAGTTCAAGGCAGCAGAAGGTTTATTTGGTAGAGAAACAACAAAGCTTACTCGGAAGACAAAGCAACCGGGTATGTAATTAAGGCAACTAATTAATTTCTCAATACTTATTAAGTACATTATTTTTTCTTTTGAGTTTGTTATACTTAATCACTTACATATTAAAACTTGGCAAAGCAACCATATAGTGGGATAACTATGGAGATGACACACCAGAATTGAAGAAATTGGCAATCTGTATTTTGAGTTTGACATGCAGTTCTATGGGTTGTGAAAGGAATTAGAGCACATGGGAGCAAGTAAAGTTCCTATTCCTATAATTATTTAATAGATTAAAATTTATGAAAAGGGTTTATTAAATATGAATTTATATAATTCTTGATTTGTAATGTTTCTAGATACATTAAAAAAGAAGGAATCATTTGGAACAAAAGATATTGAATACTTTGGTGTTTGTTAAATACAATTGCCAACTTGGGAACCACCGTGAGAAGAGAAAAGTTGAGCAAGGGCTTGATCTAATTTCTCTATCAGACATGGAGTCAGATGATGAATGAATAATTGAAAAGGAAGATCCTGCCTTATTGATGAAACCACATGGATGGATATAGGAGAGTATTTTACTGAAGTTGAAGGAATTGTAGATAAATAGAGGAAATGCAGTAGGTATTATTTTGTTATTATTATAATTTATAATTTATAACTTTATCATTTTATTCAAAATAATCATAATTTGCTCAACCTTAGGTCCTAGGGATCTACACGAGGAGAAAAAAAGGGACAGTCCAACTTCAAGATGAAGAAGAAGATGACGACATTCAACTTGATGAGAATGGGGATGATGATATAGAAGATGATGGTTGATATATTTTAATGGACTAGTATGTGTGTGCGTGCTTTGCACGTGAATTTTATGATGATGATGATAGTACATAATATGTTTCCAAAATTTTCTACAATTGTTTTTATATTTCTATGTCTATAAAAATTATTCTTATTTGTCACACTTATTATGGTTCATTAATATAGAGATGTGCCCAAATGATTTCTACATAATTTATAACTTCATGAGTTAACACATTTGACCTGAAATGCTGAGTTGATCTACCACTAAACAGGAAAACAATTTCACTTTTGGATTCGCTTTGAATTTTGTATTTTATTTATATCATCCATAAAAAAAACAATTATTGTTTATCGTGTCTAATTTTTAATATGATTAATATAAAATATTAGAAATGTTACCAAATATTTTCTACAAAGTTTCTATCTTTTTCATTTTTTTGTATTTTTATCTTTTCTTGATTTTTATTATTTAATTATGACCCACCACCAAGGAAACAATTTCATTTTTGGGTTAGTTTTAAATTTTATATTTTATTTCCAACATCAATAAAGTAACTGTTATTAATTTTTTTTGATAAATAAGTAACTGTTATTAATCACACTTATCCTTCTTTTATATGATTAACATAAAATATTAGATAAGTGCTTAAATGTTATGTACAAATTTTGTTTGATAGATAATTATGTACAAATTTTTTATGTTATTACATAATGTTTTTGTGTTTTTATATTTTCCATTTTTATTTAATAATGATATCAAGGGTTGACACATTTGACTCAAAAGGTTGAATTGTTAACCTGCCACCACAAAAATAATTTTTATTTTTGGATTGGTTTTAAATTCATATTTCATTCCAACATCATGGATTAGCCCACTTGGCCCAAATGGTTGAATTGCTTACTCGCCACCATGATAGAAAAATGATTCCATTTTGGCTAAATTTTATATCGTTAAAAGTATTAGATGTAGATCTAATTGATAGAATTTATTTGTTTAGTTTTGTGAAAATAATATCTTAAATATAGGATTCAATAAAAGAATGAGAGTAAATACCCTAAGATAAGCCTTAATGAGAAGGAATTGAATGAGGACAAATGTAGTTCAAATTACATTTTGTGCCCTCAATTAGAGGGACCAAATTCAAAAATAGGGGTATTCTAGTTAAGAAGAGGAATCAATGAATGTTAGTAAGAGCTAATACATTAAATATGAGTGAGAAGGATATGAATGAGGATTAAAGTGGTTTTTCAAATTACATTTCTGTCCTTAAAATTAGACAAGGACCAAATTCAAAATTTGGGGTAATTTAGTCAAACAAAAGTTCCACACCATTATTCACAGTTTTAATAATAGTATAGATAATCATTAAATGAAAAATGTAAAAAGACATTTTTTCTTTAGCTTGTTTTCCAATTACTGAACAAAAAATGTACTCTTGTGTCTTTTTTATCAAATAAGCACTAAATGAAGTAAAATAACAATTTTGCCTTTGCTTGTTTTCCAATTCAAACTTTAGAGAGAGGGTATTTGTTGTCCACTGAAAATTCTGGAAGCCAAGGACACCTATTTGCACTTTTATAGATAGTATAAGGCTTCTTAGTTCTTAGTTATTTAGTTGACTTATGAAGTTCTACAGTGCATAGTGAGGCACTTTTTTGTATATTTTGTATAGGGAACCTAAATAGTATATTGAGTTGCCCCAATCATCTTTTTTGTTGACTAAAGTCTTGGATCTATTGTCACTGTCATGTAAAGCTCATATTCATATCAAGACGATTAAAGATATTGATTGCTTTTTATTGCTGAAGAAAAGAATGAAATTAGAGTTGTCATTAGCGTAACTATCAGTCTGTCATTACTACTACCTATTTATATAGTTATAAGATGTTTATTGGTTAGAAAGCTTGTGCAAAGTCATTTTTTCTTTTTTTTTTGAGAGATTTAGGTATATTTTTAGAGTTTTTAATCTATGCCATACATCTAAGTGCAACCCTTAGCCACCAATCTTGCCTTCTACCTTTCAATAGTACCATCAACCCCATATTTCATAATGAATACCAACCTACATTCCATAGGTTCTTTGTTGTTTGGTAAATTAGCTACATCCCATATCTGATTCTTCAACAAAGAGTCCATCTCTGCTTGCATTGCCTCTACATTCCTAAGGACAAACATAGAAGAAATAGAGGCAAGGAAGGCTTTGTAGGATGGAGACAAAAATTGACAAGACAAATATTGAAACATATAATGAGTGATAGGAGAATGATGTTTGCCTTTATGCGAGGCGATGGAAAGATCAAAACAACTAAAAACATGAGATAATGAAGGTGTAACAACAAAAGCCTGCACCATACTAGAATTGTGTCTACTTGGACAGGAACTTTTTTTTTGAGGAATGGTAACTTTCATTTCAAAAAGAAAAAGGTTGGATATACAAAAGAGGATTTATAGGACAGCTCAAATAAGAAAACAAAACAAGATCAAAAAAGATTTCCCTCCCAGCCTGTTTTGTTAAGGTAATACCCAAAACAAAACACTCTCAACATCCTAAGAAAGCAAAACACAATCATTCAAATAGCCAATGTCAATCCCCCTGCCCTCTTCTAATGCCACCACAACTACTACACTCCATCTAACACCTCTTTCCTTTCAACAACCTCATCCCATGATTCCCCTCCCTCCCCTACAAAAGTTTTTTCCATTTTTTCTTCCTTTCTCCTTTCTAATTCTTCAAAAGCTCTTCTAACAAATGCCTCTCCCCCCAAGTAACCCCAAGCAATTTCCAACCTCCACTTCCCTACTAACAATTCTTTTAGGACCTTGTTGTATCCACTTTTCTATTATGAATAAAATTACCTTAACTTCAAAAAAACATTCAGCTTCATGTTTCTCCTTTCCTCCCAAAGAAACTTCAACAGCTTTTTTCCTTATCTTTATTTCCACCATTCTTATCTCTGTCCTCTGCAGCTATAGAAGTCCCTCACTCCACTTCAGAGCAATCTATCGATTGATCCTCATATCTCTGAGAAACTTGATGCACAAAATCCACCCCATTAGAGACCACTCAAGTCAAATCTTTAATTTTTGCACCTTTTCTCTTATACACACTTTTTTATTTATTCGTAGGATCTGCCACAATATATGAAATTTATTATATGCCATTTTATAATATTTGTTTTTTGATAGTAAAATAAAAAGATGCTAAATACAACCACCAATAGGGTGCTAAGACAGAACAACCAAATAAACAGGCAACAACCCAAGAAGAAAGACACACCTACACACCCAACACCCTCTTCCCATCACAAACAAAAACTCAAGAACACTCTCTCATCTCTGGACAAACAGAAAACAAACAAAACAAAAATTCCTACACAAAGCAAGCATCATGACCCCACCCTCTGTCTTCAATCCTTCCCATCAAATAATTCTTCCTGCCCTCCCTCCTCATTCAAAATTTCTCCTTAAAAAACGAGTTTCTTCAGTCTCTCTTCCCTTTTGTTTCTCTTAAGCTCTTCAAAAGCTCTCCCAGCAAAAGCCTCTCCACCTAAGAAAAATAGGCCTACAAATTTGCTAACCTTTACATCTCCGTTGACCTACTTCTCGATCTCTGTACTACCTTCCTCCTCCCACTGACCCTATGAAGAAACCCCAACAGTTCTTTCCAGTTTCCACAACTGCACAACCACCTTCCCTTTCCTTCTCCTCCAAGACTCCACTTGTCAGTAGGGCCTGCACCTATTAAACCTACTTTTAGCCACGAAACCACCTCAGTGACATGCATAATATGAGATTTACTAGAGCTCCTGGGAGTCTTTGAAGGTACCAGAACAGAACTAGGCTCATCCTTTTCGCAATCCTTCCTTTGATGCCCCAAATCAACTCCTAGCTTTCCCACAATACTTTCAGTAACCAGCTGACTACTTCCAACTTCAGAAAAGCACACATAATCTTTCAACACACCTCCTTGATCAAAAACCTGAGGACGATGCCTAGCTACTGTCTCCACTCCCTCATATTTTCCTTCAGCAATTCTTTCTTCCATATCATTCTCAACATACCTCTCCACTGTCGTTGGTGCCTCTAACAAATTTATAGGCCCAATCCCTGCCCCCTCTTTCTCTCCCCCTGTTCTTCCATTGACCTCAGCTGAAACTAAGTCACTCCTCCCTGAACCTTGGAAAAACTAGGAAAAGACCTTGAAACATCTAATAATGTCTATTTTATAATGTATGTGTTGATTAAGGGTTCAATACAGCATTTAGTAATGTATGTGTTGATTAAACCCTAACAAAAAGAAATTACTATATTAACACAAAATGAATATTTTAGTTTAATAATGTCTATTTTATAATTATATCTCAAAAAATTAAGAATATAAAAGTATTTTATAACACAATGTACAAAACTGCTTGGTGATTAGGCAAGGTGAGCCTCCAAGGGCGCCTTGTCGCCTAGACACCTGCCTAGGCATAGCCTTGACGACTATGAAACAACATAAAAAATATTATAAAAACTATAACAGCAACCATAAAACAGCAATGAAACAAATCTTAACAGACCTCTCAATACTTATCTTTTCTTTCTTTTTCTACATAACAATTATTTGAAGATTGGAGAAGTAAATAAAATTTAAATAAGTACAAAAAACCAATCTTACCAAAAAAAGTGCAGAAAACCAATGAAAGGTGAAGTGGAGTTACATAGCAGGTTGGCTAGCCTAAGTCTATGATGTCGGGACTTTGATTGTAACTTATTCTTTATTCTTATTAATACTTAATAAAGTTTCAGTCATCCATAAAAATAAACCAATGAAGGAAAGTTCCAAGCAAATATCATAATGGAAAAAGAAAAATTAGATTCAAAGATCAAATGATCAATCAATTCACTCGAAACAAATGACATGATGATTAAAACATTGCAGTCTCAGTTTACTCAGTTTTACCTTTAAGGTCATCCCTTTTGGGTTCTCCATAAGTAGAGTAATCAGCGTATTCTGCAAATCCATTGGTTTATCTCCTAAACTCACTTTACTTCCTGATGCTTCTCGTGTGGCTCCATGAACAGCCTTCCGGGTGATTTCTCTCTCATTGTTGGAAGCGTTCTCTTTGCTCATCACTGGTGTAATTGCTCCTTCAATGCTTGTATGGCCCTTTGTAAGATTTCCACTTCTCAAGGGAGATGTTGAAGCAGCAAATTGTTCAGGCGGAGATGGAACAGGTGAAACTGATGGCCTGCCCTTAGCAGTAGCAGTTGAAGACAATCCTGGTTTGAATACAGATTTAGGAGGACCACCCATTGCAACTGATGCAAAACATATTTAGGGAGGGGAGTAGAGTGCAGCATGTCAGTATTTTAACATCACCAGTATTTCTAATCAAAAGTCATAACTGTAGAGAACCTACTAAATGGTAACAAGAACATCAACTCCCAGGTGTATGAGTTTTGATGATTATAAGAAAATTCAAAGCAACAAAAAGCTTCAGATAATGAAAGTTGGGAAACACATTTCGTGAGTCCCTTTGTTCAAGCCACGAGGATGGGTTTTCAGGTATTTTTATGAGATTTAAGATTAAGAGTCCCTGATCACCTTGAGTTGATTCAACTTTCCGCTTCTTAAATGCAGGCTCTTTCTTTGACTTGAAGGGCATCCACCGTGAATTAACTATCCAAAGAAAAGAAGAATTGTTAAGTTAGACATGCTTCACAAAGAAATGAAATTCAAAGGGTGAATTTTTTTTTCAATGTGTGATACCAACTGATGATAAGAAGAATCAGAAGCCTAAAAACTAGGCATTGAAATTGAAAAGCATATATTCTGAGTAAGTTTTCTGAAGCATGGGTCTGCAGGTACTTTATGAGATCTATGATTTTAAGACCATCCTCTTAACCATTTGAAGTTAAAATTAAGGGAAAATATATTCATATTGCTATTAGCTATTGGCTATTTTTTTGCTTCTTTCTTTTGGATGAGTAGACATAATGCACCAATGCAAGAAAACAGACATAATCCCATATGCAAATCTCAAAATATACTACCAAAAAATTGATATATCTACACATCTAACAAGGATCAGAAATAATCTTTCCCCAATTATTTAGTCAAAAGACCTAAAATCTATGTCAGATGGATATGGGTACAAGTGTTGGAATCTAATATGGATATGGAATATCAGGGTTTGCCAAGCCTAGTAAAATATGATTTGGGGATGGAATGGATATATTTGAACCTTTATTTTTCAATCAAATACTTTTTACAATAGGTGAATAATGAAATAAGTGTTGGGAAAGCAAACAAATTAAATGCAGAAGATAGATCAACACAAATGACACTAAACAATCAAAATAATATATAGATAATTGTACTAAATAATCAAGTATAACAAATAAAGAATTCATTCCCAAATTTTTCCTAAGATGTCTAGGTTCTATTATAACATATTATGGATTCAACAAAGAGAGGATTATACTCTACTTTGAAGGTGTTCTTTCAGTTCCATTGGTAAAGAAGATTCTAACAAAGCTGAAAAAAGGCCTATTGGATTTCATTTGCCTTTCTAAAGATAATCTTGAAGTAGAAATCAATCTTGTAGCATCACGTACAAAAAGAAATAGCTAAATATACTGAACGGGAACTATCACTAAAATCCAACATCCAATTTAGCAAAACAACAGCCCCTTTGCACAACAGAGTCCAATGAGGAATCCAAGACAAGAAAAGGCATAAGATCCTGCACTCCTTAAACACACTTTCTTACCGGTATTTTAGTCATTGACAAAAATTCCAAGGCATTCTTCAGGAGAAGCCAACAAACAGCATGAAATTTGTTGTCCAACCTCTACTAATAAGATGATCAACTTTCAGAATCTCACGTTGAATTTCTACCCATAAAGCAGGAAAGCCACCTCTCAAACCCAAACCCACAATCTCATGGTTGTCAAGCTGAGAGTTTACCATTACACCAAGCAATGGCAATTAGAATGATGTTATTATGCAATGCAAATTTAGCATAAAAGCAATTAGAATCAGTAAACTATTATGCAAATTTAGCATAGAGGCAATCAAGAATATCAATCACACAAACCTCTTCTCTATCTATTTTTGGTATGTGCCCCCACTTCTTGCATTTCATTAGATATGATATGTGCCCTAGCAATAAGACCCTTTTTGGAAAGACCTTTGGGTGGGAACAGACTTTTCAAAGACTGCTTCCCAAACCTCTTCTCCATCTCATCCTACAAATCTAAGTCAGTTTCCAATTTTGCCCCCTTTTCAAACTTTGATTATCATGGGAATTGGATTTAGAAGGGACTTTGAGTAACATAAAACTAATGAAGTTCTTAATTTTCTCAAAACCGTAGAAGTAGTAATCTTGGACTCTTCATTACCTGACACTTTGACAGAAGGATCTGGTCAGCCACCTCCTCTGGACTATTCTGATGTTCTTTCTTAATTTGCAGACCTTATTGTTCAGTGATTTTTCACTTGAAGGCCAACATGTCTGATTTCCTTCAAAAGAAGAGACTAAACTGGTGCCAATCCCCAGAAATTGGTCTTCTTGTAAACCAAGTGGAGAAACTACTTACCACTTGCTAATTCCTGTCAATTTGCTTCTAGTAAAATGATGTGCAAATGCACAAGTGTCACAAGTAAACTCTTCACCACGCCATCAAGTGCCTTCACTATGCCCGCGACGTGCCACCAGAGCATCATCAAGTGTGTCTTGGGTGGGACAATACATGTATTTTGTATGGGGGAATGCCAATGGCGTTTTTGTAATTATCAGTATGATTTTTCAGCAGTAGTGATGTTTCCTGCTGTCACTCCCCCAAAAGCTTAACTTACTCTTTGAGGGGAGGTAGGTAGTCGAGTGAACTAAGAATGCGCAAAGGTTAACACTAAACTATGTGCTTGTGTTTGCCATCATTTTATGCAATACAAAGAGCCTTTTGACTAATTTGTGTGCCATTGTTGTTGCTTTGTTCCATATGCTTTCTCGACACAATCGAGCGCCACATGGGGCCTCATCGACTAGCCCCATGACACAAGGGCTGCAGTTTTTTTTTTTTTTTTGAAAGAGGTAAAAATGATATCTATATTGGTCAAATTGTCAAAGACTTAAAGTGGCTCACCAATATTTGAAAGAATTGAACAGCTTTACACCTTGCTCTATAGACAATATCTTTAGAGGGTCACAAATGGTGGCCTCTTATTCAACTACAAGACCAAAAGCTTCAGCATTGCAGACTCCACCACTGCCCAATGAAATCAAACTAAATTTTGACAGGTATGTTTTGGACAATCCTGGTATTTCACGAATAGTAATATTTAGAGATGAACCTAGAATCATATTAGCCATGTGCTCCAGACCCATAGGTGATAGGTATTAAAAATTCCATCAGATCTGAGCTGTTAGTGGCACTGAAAGGACTAAGAATGCCCAGATTATTGAAATACAAAAATTTGAAGACGGAAGGGGACTCAAGGGTGGTGGTAAGCTGGTTGAAACAGAATAATCAACGACAATGGCAATACCAACACAAAATGAGGGAGATTAGAAGTTGGTACGAGGGGAAAAACTACATGTTCTTGGGTTCAAAAATCAGAAAGTAACTTGGCTGACACCCTTATCAAGCAAGGAGAAAACATCACTTAGTTGTTTTGAAACAGTGGTGAATACAGAGTTGGAAGTAAGTAAAATTTTGAATTTGTTTTTTAGCGAAGGAGAGGAGTTTGTAAGGAAAACGTTCGAAGAGTTGGAAGAAAAATACTGTGAGAAACCAAAAAATAAGGAAAAGGCATAAGGAAATGATGAATCGGGGGAAGGAAAAGGAAAGTCAATGAGCATTCAAGAGGGGGTGCAAGGCTATGACAAGGAAGAAGAAGATTCTGAAGGTTTTGGAGAACAGGTGGCGGCTCAAACTTTTAAAAAGAATGTGATTCTCGAATTAGAAAGGATTATTGACAAGCATAAAGATTTTTTTTTGGGAAAGCAAAAGTTATTTTATTAAATTGATTAAAGGTGGATTAATACAATTTGATTACAAGAGTGTAATCCCCACATATAAAAAAGTATATTATAAAGATGCCCAATAAAATTGCTGCCTTGCAGCCCCTTGTTTTGCTAGGGCATTAGCTAGCCCATTTGCACTCCTAACCCACTTGAAATCAGCATTTAAGTCCTTCGCCAACCTTTCAACTTCCCTGAAAATATGTTTGAGTCCAAGGAATTTGTCTATTACAATACACCCATGTAATAATTACTTTTGAATCCCCTTCCACCTCCACCTGTCTAAATCCCAATTGCTTTGCCAACCGAAGTCCATGCAGCAATGCCAACAGCTCTGCCTTCACAGAGTTAGTAATGCCAATTGGCCCTGAAAATAAAGCTAAAATCCTGCTCTCCAAATTTCTGATTGCTCCACTTATTCCTGGTATTCCTGGGTTACCCAAGGAAAGTGAACAGTTGCCTAATACCATAAGAAGGTTGAAGAATAGAAAGCTTCATCAAACAGCTCAAGTTTCAAAGGCTTTTTCAAGATTGAAGTTAGGCTTCTTTGGGGCTGGTCCCAGTAAGAAGATGAAGAAAACAAAGAAGCAAAGAGAATCTTCTAATGCTTGTGGAAATCTGGAGTGAATAAAGTGAAGGTAGGTTGTTTGGTCAGTCTTGGGTTGAGATCATGCATGGATGTAATGTTCTATGGTTTTTCTTTGTTAGGTCTTGTTCTATGGGGGGCTAACTTTATCAAGTTCTGACTTCTGAGGGACAGTTAATTTTTTGAAGTTTAAGTTTGGAAGGAAAGAATAGTTGTGTGGGGATTTTGTTGGTTCCATGTTTCCAGGTTGTTGGCATTGGGTTGGTCTCAGTTGTAGTCTGGAGAAGGAAATTGGGTTTGGTCTCTATGTTTCTGTGTGGGTGATATCTTATCACCCTTTGTGCAATCTTCTTCTCTTTCTTCTTAATAATTTTCTTTTTTATTTACTACCAAAAAAAGGGTTTGGGTTAAGCTGCGGCTAGCCTAAACTTTATGGGATGTTTGGCCACTGTAATCAGTGTTGCATGGACATACACACAGACACAGGAGTCAGAACCCAACAAGTGTCCAAGAGTCTGACTCAACAAGATGAGAAAACATGGATTTGCAGACATATCTATCGAAGAGCATATATTATTAAAATGATTCATAAAAATTGATATGAAAGATGGCATTTGTTACCAAGTAACAAATGTTGTCTTTGTTACTAAGTAGCGTTTGATACAAACAATGGCATCATCTTGTACATTAGCTGTTCAGTTATATCAAATAAGCTAGGAGATAAAAAGGAATTGTTATATAGAAGTGTCCTCAAGAATCCATGGAGTGTCAATCTTTGATGCATTCCAACATGGAGACATTGTCCGTTTGGGAGAGTCCAAGCAACATTGGCTGTAATTACTCTTTCTTTTTGAATACTTAATAAAAATTATGATACTAAATCATGTCAAAAGGAAAATTTTGTAAGAGAACCATAAGGTCACCAATGTTGGGATACAGAACTATGGAATATAAAGCCATATGTTATGGATGGTGGTATTTTATCAATGTACAGTGAATTAGGGATGAATATTCTCACCACACTGAAACCCAAATAAATACTTAAAATAAGTATAAGTGGTTTGGGAAAGGACCCCCCAAAACACTAATAAGTACTTATGAAATAAGTGCTATTATTTCTCAAACCACTTATTCACCAAATATACCCTTACTGGTTTAAGGATAGACAAGCAGCCTTGTTTCTTCTTGTTTTACACGGGTGATTCAACCAATACACAGATAAAACAGAAATGATGGTAGCAGGCCTTAGACTTGTTTGTTTCTTTAATGATATTATGATCTATAGAGATCAGATCAGCTAAGATTAGGTGGACCCGAAGAGACTAAATACTATAAGCTAGCTAGATCAATGATAAAAGGGCCTTTTGTTATGGGGAATTGGGGAATAGCTCCTTACCTCATTAATCTTTGAAAGGGAGGGCTATCCATGTTATTTTGTATAACCTTGTGTAGCTCCTTATGTATGCCTTTCATCCGGATAACATAAGATACAGTTATCCTCTTTCAAAAGAAAATGTTTATATGGAGCTGAATGTTGGGAAGTCAAGAAGCAACAAGCAAGAAACCCCTCTCCTCCCAAAATCCTCCCGAAAAAGAAATGACGACAGTAATGACAACAGTGTTTTGTGTTTAGATGAATAGGTGGCAAATCAGAAAGAATAGGATTAATGAGAACAAATTCACGGTAATCTAGCAGTAGCCTCTGTGGGTGATAAAATGAGGGAAAGTAGATTAATATAGCTTCAACATGTACATAGAAGACTACCTATTGCAATAAGAAGTGATATGCTCCAAGTATATAGCCCTTAATAGACATCAGTTGAGGTAGTGAAAAATTATCAATGGCTCACAATTCAGTAGAGGACATAGCCCTTAATCGACTGATATAGTGAAACAGAATTTATGTAGCCGGGCCCATATGGTTGGGATAACCGGATAAGTTTTAGCTGAATTTGAGTATATCAAGAGTCAATTCTTAATTTTTGTCATATCAGTATGTAATATGCCTTCAGTGCAAATTGAATGTTGATTTCACCTTGATAAAAAGTTAATCTATGACAAGAAATGTTTTCACCCCTAAAAAAATGGGAGGATGCTCTGAGAAGCTATGACAAAAGTCAGCTAGGGCATATGGGGAAACAAGAAGTGCAAAAATTCAAGAGAAACTCACCATCAACTGCAGCTGCTGCTAATGTCTTCATTTCATTCTTTACAGACGGGTTTCCATGGTCTAAGACAATGCTTCTGTTATAAGAAAAGAATAATAAACAAAGTCAATACAACAAAAGAAGCATAGCACATGAGGAATGCTTAAAGACATCTTGGAGAATCATACGTATTTTTTTCTTTGATTTTTTTTTTGATCAATAACAATTTCATTAAAATTCATTAAATCAACAAAAGAATAATTACAACAAGGAAGACAAATACTCTTACCTTCCAAATACAACTTAAGCCCTCAAGAAAAGAAAAGAAAAAAGAAAGGAAGAAACAATTAAGTTACAACTTAGCCCAAAACATTGAGCCCCTTTCTACCCCTTGTTTAGCTAATCCATCAGCTACAAAATTAGCTGATCTTTGAACCCAACTCATCTTAACTTCCATCTCCCGCACCAGCCACTTAAATTTCCTCCTCTCATTGCTGTAATTCCATAAGCCACTGTTGTCTTTATTCGGCCACCCTATCACCACCTCCGAGTCCCCTTCAATTATGAGTTTTCTGATATTCATCTCCTTAGCTTTCTAGACTCCTTCCATAACTGCCAAGATCTCAGCTCTAAGGGAGTCACCCACTCCAATTGGGCCTGAGAACAAGGCAGAAATGATCCCATTCCCATCCCTAAAAACACCCCCAATCCTTGATTGTCCAAGATTCCCCCTACTACTCCCATCAAAGTTTAATTTTAAGAATCCAGCAGGTGGGGGGTCCAAGACACTCATTACTGATTTGGTCTGTGTACAGTTTGCAATCTCACCCCACTTCCTCAACATGTCATCCACTGTGTAATCTATGAATAGTTCTAAGGATTTCAGCCACTGTACAGCCCTTATATGGATTATAGCCCTTAGTTCTTCAGCCCCTCTCAACTTCTAAGAAGATCCTAGAATTTCTTTCTTCCCATAATGACCAGCATACTACAGCCCTCGGTCCTCTCCACATAGTCATTCCCCTTTTCATACGCCACCTGAAAAAAGAAGGGGAGAAAAGACTTTGCATGTCTGATGAAGGGTTCCAACTACGCCCAAAGAGAGAAAAAGCCCACTACCAAATTGACTTTGCAAATTGGCAAGACACCAGTAAATGAAAACCAGTTTCCCCATCCGCTTTGCAAAGAACACACCAATGAGGTGACAAGCAAGTATTGGGTCTCTTCTTTTGGAGCAGATCACCAGTGTTGAATCTTTCCAGATAGGCTTCCCAACAAAAACT